TCTTCAGTGTCTTTCATCAATGTCATAATTTTCAGAGTACAGGTTTTATCTCTTTGGTTAAATTTATTCCTAGGTATGTATTTTACTTTTTGGTGCAACTTTAATGGGATTGTTAACTTATCTTTCTGCTTTGTTGGTATTTAAAAAAAATGCAGCGGAGTTCTGTGTATTAATTTTGTATCCTGTCACTTTACTGCATTAATTTATCAATTCTAATAGTTTTTTGGTAGCATCTTTAGGATTTTCTATAATAGTTTTATGTCATCTGCAAGTAGTAACAGTTTTACTTCTTCCTTACCAATTTGGATGCTTTGTATTTGTCTGTCTTCTCCAATTGCTATGGCTAGGACTTCCAGTACTATTTTGAATAAAAATGGAGAATGGATCTGTATTTTGTTCCTGATCTTACAGGAAGTGTTTTCAGTTTTTCATCATTGAGTATGATGTTTGTTGTGGGTTTTCATATATGGCCCTGATTATGTTGAGGTATGTTCCTCTAAATTCACTTTATTGAATGTTTTTAACATGAACAGATGTCCTATTTTTTCAAATATTTTTTCTGCATCTGTAGAAATTGTATAATGTTTATCCTTTCTCTTATTAGTGTCTATTAAATTGATTTGCAAGTGTTGAGCCATCCTGCAGCCTTAGAATAAAGCCCACTTGATCCTGGTGAATTATTTTTTTAATGTATTGTTGAATTTCCTGTGTTAGTATTTTGTTGAGGATTTTTACATCTCTGTTCATCAGGGATATTGGTTTGTAGTTTTATTTTTTTTTGTAATGTTTTTGTCTGGTTTTGATATTTTGGGTAATGCTAGCCTTGTGGAACAAATCTGGCAGTTTTTCTGTCTCTTGCATATTTTGGAATAGTTTGAGAAGTAATAATTCTTCTTTAAATGCTCGGTTGAATTCACCTGTGAAGTCATCTGGTCCTGGACTTTTGTTTGTTGGGAGTTTCTTGATCACTGATTCTATTTCATTACTGGGAATCTGTCAGATCAAATTTTCTATTTCTTCCTGATTCCGTTTTGAAAGAGTGTATGTTTCTAGGAATTTATCTACTGCTTGCAGGTTGCCCAATTTGTTGGCATATAATTTTTCATACTATTTTATAATGTTTTTACTTATGTGTGTTGTTATTTCTCCTCCTTGATTTCTCACTTTGAGTCCCCTCTCTCCTACTTGATAAGTCTGGCTAAAAGTTTATCAGTTTTATCTTTTCAAAGAACCAGCTCTTGGTTTCATTTGATCTTCTTTTAGACTGTGTTTATTTCTGTTCTCTTCTTTAGTATTAACTTCCTTCTACTAACTTTGGGCTTTTCTGTTTGCTCTTCTTTCTAGTTCCTCTAGGTATGAGGTTAGATTACTTATTAGACATTTTTTTTGTTTCTTGAGGTGGGCCTGTATCACTAAATCTTACTTCTTAGTACTGCTTTTGCTGCATCCCAAAGATTTTGTATCTTTGTGTTCTATTTTCATTTGTCTTCATGTATTTTTTTATTCCTCTTTGATTTTTTTCATTAAACCATTGGTTGTTTAGTAGTTTGTGTTTTCTATTTTGTTTTGTTTTTCCTTGTAATTGATTTTTAGTCTTACATCATTGTGGTCATAAACCATACTTGATACGATTTCAGTCTTCTTAAAGTTATTGAGACTTGTGGCCTACCATGATCTATCCTGGAAAATAGTCCATGTACACTGAAAAAGAATGTGTATTCTGATTTGGGGGGAGATGGAATATTCTGTATTTATTGGTTAGGTCCATCAGGTCTAATGTGCCACGCAAAGCCTGTTTCTTTGTTGATTTTCTGTCAAAATGATCTATTTGTTGATGTACATGGGATGTTAAAGTCTCCTATTATTGTATCACTGTCAATATCTCCCTTTGCATCTATTAATATTTGCTTTATGTATTTAGGTGCTCCACTGTTGAGTGCACAGAAGTTTGTAATTATTACATTCTCTTGTTGGATTGCTCCCTTTATTGCACTATTTTTATTGCTCCCTTTATCCTCACATAATGCCTTTGTCTTTTGGTGCTTTTGTTTTAAAGTGTATTTTTTTCTGATATAAGGATAACTACTCTGGCTTTTTTCCCCACATTTATTTATATGTAATTTTTTTTTCATCCCTTCAATTGCAGTCTGTAGGTGCTTTAAGTTAAAGTGAATCTCTTACAGGAAGCATATAGATGGGTCTTGTTTTTTCATCTATTCAGTCACCCTTATCGTTTGATTACAGTATTTAGTCCATTTACATTTAATATAATCACTGGTCCATATTTATTTGTTGCTTTTTTCTTTTTTCTTTCATGTTTTCTGGTTGTTTTTGTAGCTCTTCTTGGTTTCTTTGTTCTTCTCTTGCTCTCTCCCCTTGTGGTTGAATGTCTTTACATAGTGAAATGCTTGCATTACTTTCTCTTTATTTTTTGTATATCAATTGCAGGTTTTTGTTTGTGATTACCACTGGGGTCATATATAACATCTTATGTGTACAGTGGTCTATATTAAGGTGATGATCTCTTAAGTGCACATACAACCTAAGAGTCTATATTTTTACCCCTTTCCATGTTTTGGGTATATGGTGTCATATTTTGCATCTTTTTATTATTTGTATCCCTTGACTAACTTTGGTAGATATAATTGCTTTGGCTACTTTTGTGACTTGACCTTCATACTTGCTCTATAAGTGATTAATCTACTACTTTATGTTTAATTTTACCAGTGAAAATTTCTCCTTTCATAATTTTATTCTAGTTATTGCCTTTACTTTCCACTTAATTCCCTTTAACATTTCTTGTAAACTGGCTTAATACTGATAAACTCCTTTAACTTTTGTCTGGGAAACTATTTATCTCTCCTTCAGTTCTGAATGATAATCTTGCTAGGTTGAGTATTCTTGGTTGTGGGTGGTTGTTTTTTGTTTTTCCTTTCAGCAGTTTCAATGTATCGTGCCACTTCCTTCTGGTCCACAAAGTTTCTGCTGAAACATTACCTGGTAGCCTTATGGAATTTCTCTTATATGTAACTGTTTCCCTTTCTCTTACAGCTTTTAAGATTCTGCCTTTAATTTTTAAGATTTTCATTATTATATGATTTGGTGTGTGGACCTCCTTGAATTTATATTGTCGGGAGCCCTCTGCTTCCTAGACCTGGATGTTTATTTCTCCTAAAGATTAGGGAAGTTTTCTGCTATTATTTCTTCAAATAATTTTCTGCTCCCTTCTTTCTCTTTTCTCCTTCAAGTGTCCCTATAATGTGAATGTTATACTTGATGATGTCACAGTGGTTCCTTAACCCATTCTCACTTTTTTTTTATTATTTTTTGGTTTTGGTGTTCAGCTTGGTTGCTTTCCATTATCTTATCTTCCAGACCACTAATCTGTTATTTTTCATCCTCTAATCTGATTTTTTTTATTCTCTTGATGTATTTTACATTCTACTTACTGTATTCTTTACCTCTGACTCATTTCTTTTTATATTATCTATCTCTTTTTTGAAATTCTGAGTTTATCTACTCTTTTCTTTAGTCCAGTGAGTATTTTTACAATGGTTACTTCAAACTGTTTATCAGGTATATTTTTTTATATCTGTTATGCTTAGCTCTTTTTCTCTGATTTTTGCCTTGCTCTTTCATTTGGGACCTATTTTCTGTCTCCTCATTTTGTCTACTTCTCTCTGTTTTTCTCTTTGTATTAGGTAGGTTATCAAAGTCTCCTGGTCTTCAAAGTAGTGGTCTGTTGAAAAAGGGGTCCTGTGGTGTCTTGTAGAGCAATCCCCCTGGGTCACTAGGACCAGACATCCAAAGGTGTTCTCTACGTGGGCTCTGTGCCCACTACTGTTGTGGCTTAGACACAGTTGCCATGGGCATGGTAGTGGGTGGGTCTGGCCTTCAGCCCAGCTGGCTGCTGTAACCCACCTCATATTCTATGGGCACATTGGCATGGTTTGCTCCTTGTTATAGTGTGAGGCCTGGATGCAGCCACCATGAGCTCACTGGTGGGTGGGCTGGCATTCAGCCTAGCTGTTTGCACTTAGTCTCTGTGACAGCTGCATGTACCCCACAGGGTAGGACTTTCTCCTTGCACAGCCTGCTAAGGCTCTGCTGCAGGAACTGAAGTCATGCCGTGTGGTGTTATCCCATCACCTCCTCAGTACAGGACCTGCTTTGGAGTGATGCTGATTCTGGTTGGGGCTACCTGCTTTGGCAGGATGACTAGCTGGGGTAGGAATTGGTTTGGAGCGATGCCTGCCCCAGTGGCTAGCTTGGGTTGGGACAGTTCTGCAGGGGAATGCCAGAGTGGAGCACGCAGTGCCAAAAACTTAGATGGAGGGTGTTAGAATTGGCTCCTGCAAGCAACTGACTAAGCTGGGGGTGATGCAAGATAAATGACACCCACTAGCACTTTTGTTCCCAGAGAAATATGCAGACCCCCCACCCTTCCAGCACATGCCTTAAGATTAGTCAATAAATCTCCTTCACACATATGCCACATATTTTTCAAACTGCTGCTCTATGTTGTACCTCCCACTGAGTTATTTATGATGCTGCCTCTTGAAGGGTGCAGACTCCGTTTCGTATCACCTCCAGCTCTCCTGGAGTTAAGTCCTGCCGATTTCCAAAGTTCCCAAAATTAAGGCCCACTGATTTTCAAAGCCAGTGTTTTCCCAGTGAGGATCCCCACAGCCAGGGGTACTTCATGTGGATTCTCTTCCATGCTTGTGGTGTCCCTCCTGTTTATGGTTCATTGTGCTGAGGGTTTGGATCCCAATGGCATCTCCACTCCTCCTACCCTTTTTAATGTGCTCTTTTCTCTATGGAAGATCTGTTGTGCCAGTCTTCAGGTTGTTTTCAGAGTTGTTGCAGAGAATGTAACTGTTGCCTCAGGGTGTCCAGGTGACAAGGTAAGCTCAGCATCCTCCTATTCTATCATCTTCTCCCTCTCCTGTCAACGTAATTTCTTACTGATAGTAATTTTAAAAGATAAAGTTGACGATACTTTTAAACATTTTAAAAAATTATATACCATGTCCAAGCCAACCCCCATCATGGCCTCACTGGTTTTCATTCCTCGATGTACTCAGGGGAGCAGAAGAGAAAAGTATGGAAGATTTTGATCACTTGGGGCATCCTCACACTGTAAAGTTAAATAAGAAAAAAAAAATCCGAACTCTGTAGGAAGTATTAGACTTTTGTAAAAATAAGTGCCTATAAAAGGAACAACTAGAAAATCTCTTAAACTGCAAAAGAAAAACTAGAAATACAATAAAGTGTTAACAGTTACTGAGATTAAGGATGCCTTATCCTCCTCATGAACTTAAAACTTTCTAAAAGGATTTTTTTTAACTGAAGCGACAATCCACGTCCAACAATTAGAAGGGGTGTTTTTCAAAACTATGGCACATTTATTTGCAAAATAGAATGCAGCTATTAAAAAAAAACTTTTGGAAGATGGTGGCGTAGGAGGACGCTGGGCTCACCGCATCCTGCTGGTCACTTAGATTCCACCCACACCTGCCTAAATAACCCAGAAAACCGCCAGAGGATTAGCAGAACAGAGTCGCCGGAGCCAAGCGCAGACGAGAGGCCCACGGAAGAGGGTAGGAAGGGCGGCGAGGCGGTGTGCACTCCACGGACTGGCGGGAGGGAGCCGGGGCAGAGGGGCGGCTCGCCGGCCAAGCAGAGCCTCCAAGTCTGGCTGGCAAAAGCGGAGGGGCCGGATGGAGTGTGTTCAGACAGCAAACGGGACTTGACATCTGGAAGGTTATAAGCTAACAGCTCTGCTCGGAGAACGGGAGGGCTGGAGGACAACAGGAGGGAGAGTCCTTGAGCCCCAGATGACAGAGCTCAGCTTGGCGGGGAACAAAGGCGCTCGCCACCACCATCTCCTTCCCCCATCCCCTAGCCAAAATCCCAAAGGGAACCAGTTCCTGCCAGGGAACTTGCTCACTCGGCACAAACCCCCAACGCTGTGCTTCTGCAGATCCATCCCTCCGCCTGGCGGCGGGTCTGACTCCCTCTCAGTGCTGCAGGGCCCCTCCAGAAGCGGATCACCAAGGATAAGCAAGCTTGAGCCTGCCCCTCCCGCCCCCATGCACCTGGCCAATCCACCCCAGCTAATATGCCAGATCCCCAGCACCACAAGCCTGGCAGTGGGCAAGTAGCCCAGAGGGGCCATGCCACCCCACAGTGAATCAAGCCCCTAGGAGAGGGGAAGAGAAGGTATACACCAGTCTGACTGTGGCCCCACGGTGGGCTGGGGGCAGACATCAGGTCTGAGGCCCCGCCCACCAATGCAAGCTATCCTAGACAGCACAGGGGACGTGCCCTGCAGTTCTATCCAAAATGACGAAACAGAAGAATTCCCCTCAAAAGAATCTCCAGGAAATAACAACAATTATGAACTGATCAAAAAGGATTTAAACAATATAACAGAAAGTGAATTTAGAATAATAGTCATAAAATTAATCGCTGGGCTTGAAAACGGTATACAGGACAGCAGAGAATCTATTACTACAGCGATCAAGGGACTAAGGAACTGTCAGGAGGAGCTAAAAAATGCTATAAATGAACTGCAAAATAAAATGGAGACGACCACGGCTCCGATTGAAGAGGCAGAGGAGAGAATAGGTGAACTAGAAGATAAAATTATGGAAAAAGAGGAAGCTGAGAAAAAGATAAAAAAAATCCAGGAGTATGAGGGGAAAATTAGAGAACTAAGTGATGCACTAAAGAAAAATAATCTACGCATAATTGGTATCCCAGAGGAGGAAGAGAGAGAGAAAGGTGCTGAAAGTGTCCTTGAAGAAATAATAGCTGAGAACTTCCCTGATCTGGGGAAGGAAAAAGGCACTGAAACCCAAGAGGCACAGAGAACTCCCTTCAGACGTAACTTGAATTGATCCTCTGCACGACATATCATAGTGAAACTGGCAAAATACAAGGATAAAGAGAAAATTCTGAAAGCAGCTAGGGATAAACACACTCTAACTTATAAAGGGAGAGCCATAAGACTAGTGGCAGAACCTATCTACTGAAACTTGGCAGGCCAGAAAGGAATGGCAGGAGATCTTCCATGTGATGAACAGAAAAAATATGCAGCCAAGAATCCTTTATCCAGCAAGTCTGTCATTTAGAATAGAAGGAGAGATAAAGGTCTTCCCAAACAAACAAAAACTGAAGGAATTCGTCACCACTAAACCAGCTCTACAAGAGATCCTAAGGGGGATCCTGTGAGACAAAGTACCAGAGACATCGCTACAAGCATGAAACCTACAGACATCACAATGACTCTAAACCCATATCTTTCTATATAACACTGATTGTAAATGGACTAAATGTGCCAAGCAAAAGACATAGGGTATCAGAATGGATAAAAAAAAAAAACAAGACCCATCTATTTGCTGTCTACAAGAGACTCATTTTAGACCTGAGGACACCTTCAGATTGAAAGTGAGGGGATGGAGAACTATTTATCATTCTACTGGAAGTAAAAAGAAAGCTGGAGTAGCCATACTTATATCAGACAAACTAGACTTTTTTTTTTTTTAATGTTTATTTATTTTTGGGACAGAGAGAGACAGAGCATGAACGGGGGAAGGGCAGAGAGAGAGGGAGACACAGAATCGGAAACAGGCTCCAGGCTCCCAGCCATCAGCCCAGAGCCTGACGCGGGGCTCGAACTCACGGACCGCGAGATCGTGACCTGGCTAAAGTTGGACGCTTAACCGACTGCGCCACCCAGGCGCCCCAGACTAGACTTTAAATTAAAGGCTGTAACAAGAGATGAAGAAGGGCATTATATAATAATTACAGGGTCTATCCATCAAGAAGAACTAACAATTATAAATGTCTATGTGCCGAATACAGGAGCCCCCAAATATATAAAACAATCACAAACATAAGCAACCTTATTGATAAGAATGTGGTAATTGCAGGGGGCTTTAATACTCCACTTACAGAAATGGATAGATCATCTAGACACACGGTCAATAAAGAAACAAGGGCCCTGAATGATACATTGGACCAGATGGACTTGACAGATATATTTAGTACTCTGCATCCCAGAGCAACAGAATATACTTTCTTCTCAAGTTCACATGGAACATTCTCCAAGATAGATCACATACTGGGTCACAAAACAGCCCTTCATAAGTATACAAGAATTGAGATCATACCATGCACACTTTCAGACCACAATGCTATGAAGATTGAAATCAACCACAGGAAAAAGTCTGGAAAACCTCCAAAAGCATGGGGGTTAAAGAACACCCTACTAAAGAATGAATGGGTCAACCTGGCAATTATAGAAGAAATTAAAAAAATATATGGAAACAAACGAAAATGAAAATACAACAATCCAAATGCTTTGGGATGCAGCAAAGGCAGTCCTGAGAGGCAAATACATTGCAATCCAGGCCTATCTCAAGAAACAAGACAAATCCCAAACACAAAATCTAACAACACACCTAAAGGAAATAGAAGCAGAACAGCAAAGGCAGCCTAAACCCAGCAGAAGAAGAGAAATAATAAAGATCAGAGCAGAAATAAAAAAATACAGAATCTAAAAAAACTGTAGGGCAGATCAATGAAACCAAAAGTTGGTTTTTTGAAAAAATAAACAATATTGATAAACCTCTAGCCAGGCTTCTCAAAAAGAAAAGGGAGATGACCCAAGTAGATAAAATCATGAATGAAAATGGAATTATTACAACCAGTCCCTCAGAGATACAAGCAATTATCAGGGAATACTATGAAAAATTATATCCCAACAAACTGGACAACCTGGAAGAAATGGACAAATTCCTAAACCCACATGCTTCCAAAACTCAACCAGGAGAAAATAGAAAGCTTGAACAGGCCCATAACCAGCAAAGAAATTGAATCAGTTATCCAAAATCTCCCAACAAATAAGAGTCCAGGACCAGACGGCTTCCCAGGGGAGTTCTACCAGACGTTTAAAGCAGAGATAATACCTATCTTTCTCAAGCTATTCCAAAAAATAGAAAGGGAAGGATAACTTCCAGACTCATTCTATTAAGCCAGTATTACTTTGATTCCCAAACCACACAGAGACCCAGTGAAAAAAGAGAACTACAGGCTAATATCCCTGATGAATATGGATGCAAAAATTCTCAATAAGATATTAGCACATCGAATTCAACAGCATATAAAAAGAATTATTCACCATGATCAAGTGGGATTCATTCCTGGGATGCAGGGCTGGTTCAACATTCGCAAATCAATCAACGTGATACATCACATTAATAAAAGATAAGAACCATATGATCCTGTCAATCGATGCAGAAAAGGCATTTGACAAAATTCAGCAACGTTTCTTTTTTTTTTTAATTTTTTTTTAATGTTTATTTTTATTTTTGACAGAGATGGAGACAGAGCATGAGCGGGGGAGGAGCAGAGAGAGAGGGAGACACAGAATCGGAAGCAGGCTCCAGGCTCTGAGCTGTGGGCACAGAGCCCGACACGGGGCTCGAACTCACAGACTGTGAGATCATGACCTGAGCCGAAGTCAGACGCTCAACTGACTGAGCCACCCAGGAGCCCCTCAGCAACCTTTCTTAATAAAAACCCTTGAGAAAGTTGGGATAGAAGGAACATACTTAAACATCATAAAAGCCATTTACGAAAAGCCCACAGCTAACATCATCCTCAATGGGGAAAAACTGAGAGCTTTTTCCCTGAGATCAGGAACACGACAGGGATGCCCACTTTCACCGCTGTTGTTTAACATAGTGTTGGAAGTGCTAGCATCAGCAATCAGACAACAAAAGGAAATCAAAGGCATCAAAATTGGCAAAGATGAAGTTAAGCTTTCACTTTTTGCAGATGACATGATATTATACATGGAAACCCAATAGACTCCACCAAAAGTCTGCTAAGAACTGACACGTGAATTTAGCAAAGTTGCAGAATACAAAATCAATGTACAGAAATCAGTTGCATTCTTATACACTTATAATGAAGCAACAAATAAAGAAGCTGATCCCATTCACAATTGCACCAAGAAGCAGAAAATACCTAGGGATAAATCTAACCAAAGATGTAAAAGATCTGTATGCTGAAAACTATAGAAAGCTTATGAAGGAAATTGAAGAAGATATAAAGAAATGGAAAAACATTCCATGCCCATAGATTGGAAAAATAAATATTGTCAAAATGTCAATACTACCCAAAGCTATCTACACATTCAATGCAATCCCAATCAAAATTGCCCCAACATTCTTCTCGACGCTAGAACAAGCAATCCTAGAATTCATATGGAACCACAAAAGGCCCCGAATAGCCAAAGTAATTTTGAAGAAGAAGACCAAAGCAGGAGGCATCACAATCCCAGACTTTAGCCTCTACTACAAAGCTGTGACCATCAAGACAGCATGGTATTGGCACAAAAACAGACACATAGACCAATGGAATAGAATAGAAACCCCAGAACTAGACCCACAAACGTATGGCCAACTCATCTTTGACAAAGCAGGAAAGAACATCCAATGGAAAAAAGACAGTCTCTTTAACAAATGGTGCTGGGAGAACTGGACAGCAACATGCAGAAGGTTGAAACTAGACCACTTTCTTACACCATTCACCAAAATAAACTCAAAATGGATAAAGGACCTGAATGTGAGACAGGAAACCATCAAAACCCTAGAGGAGAAAGCAGGAAAAGACCTCTGTGACATCAGTCGTAGCAATTTCTTACTTGACACATCCCCAAAGGCAAGGGAATTAAAAGCAAAAATGTACTACTGAGACCTCATGAAGATAAAAACCTTCTGCACAGCAAAGGAAACAACCAACAAAACTAAAAGGCAACCAACGGAATGGGAAAAGATATTTGCAAATGACATATCGGACAAAGGGCCAGTATCCAAAATCCATAAAGAGCTCACCAAACTCCACACCCAAAAAACAAATAATCCAGTGAAGAAATGGGCAGAAAACACAAATAGACACTTCTCTAAAGAAGACATCCAGATGGCCAGCAGGCACATGAAAAGATGTTCAACGTTGCTCCTCATCAGGGAAATACAAATCAAAACCACACTCAGATATCACCTCACGCCAGTCAGAGTGGCCAAAATGAAC